GAGTTCATAAAGTTGAGAAATAAATTCACAAAAAAAAAAATATGATGTATTATTGATAATTGAATAGGTGATTTTGGTCTTTACATTACATGTATTTATAATGAAAGAAAATCCTAAATCACAAGGAAACTGTTGCAAACGAAGCATAGAAAACATAAACTTTGGGCGAAATTTAAAGTGGGTCCCACTAATAATTTCTTGCAGATCTATAGATGAATGCGTTCCTCTCCACAAGGAGATGGACGTGGTATATTATTTTCTCAAATCCGTTTCCGAGTGCATAAGAAATTATTCCCAAAGTAAGGTGTTTTGATAAGGTGGTTGTCGACCCACATTGAAAATAACATGAAACTAATAAGAGTATATATAGCCCAAGTTTGGATTTTGGGTTTGGCCCAAGGGCACCCAAGTTTTAAAGAAAAAGAGGACCTATAGGAAATTTTGGGCGCAAATTTTTTACTACCCCCTCCAGGCTTAGGCTTAGTTGTAAAATCCAGTTAATTTTTTATTAAACAGATTATTGATTTGGGCCTTGGCGTTTGGGCTTAATTTTATATTTGGGCTGGGCTTACTCTAGTGGGTATCACTATTTTGAATTGGGTTCGGCTTTCGAATGGTTGTGTCTAACCCGAACCAGTGCATCCAAGGGTTGCACCTGGTGTGAACCAGTGCACCCCATTTTTTAGCGATGGTTCAGGCTAAACCATTATGTCCCGTAACTGTTCGGGTCAACCGAAAAGGCACCTGCATGCCTCTAAATACCTCCCTTGGGTCATTTACAAAATACACCAAAAATTCATAAATCTTCTCTCTGCTTCTGAGTTATTCTCTCTTCCTTTCTTCTCCCTTCTTTTCATACACATAGTGTTAGTGTGTGAGTTTGAGTCTCGTCAAGAAAGAGAGTACTACACCGAGCTGGTTCGCCTATTTCTTTGGTTTGCAGTGCTGCTGCCGAAGAAAGAAGTGTCGTTATATCCTGAGAGACAGACGCTATAGAATCCGTTAGCACCATATCAAAGCGAATCCGTCTGGACATAGAATCAAATTCTTGCATCGGCCTAATAATATGTTCTTTATATATATATTTATATTTTGTTTTCTTATTATTATACTACTAAAAATTATATTAGTTTAGTATAACATGTTAAACCATTACCATAATATTATATATATTATTATTTTTAATAATAATTATATATATTATTATTATCCATAATATTTTAATAAATGACACACATACACTTTTGGACAATAGAAATTGCATCACAAAACCTTATACCATAAAGAAATCTAATAAAACAAATACTCCAAAATAAGTTGAAAAATAAAGTTTTAAAAAGTTTACAAAAAGATAAATAAGAAGCCTAATCAACAAAAACTACTAACTAAAAGAATTCCGAGTTCATTTAGGCCACAAACAAAGATCCCGAAGTAATCAATAGGCCTCTTATACAACACAAAAACCTTGTTTTGAGGTTCTAAACGATAAAATTCGGCCAAAAAATGGCGTACATCACAGCTTAGCATTGAACATTGCTCGTTCGGCCATTTCTAGTAAAAAAAACTTTCCTTTTGGGGAAAAAAATAGACACTTCGTGTTGACACCCATTTTGACAAAATTATGTGGCAATGATGTTAGGTGGCAGTGGAGTGTAGTAGAAAATCACGTTCCCCCCTCGGTTAATCTGAATGTGGAAAAGATAGTGGTCATATTTTATCAAGATAATGGTCTTATTTTTATCAGTGATTACCATGAGTGGGAGAGACTTTGAATCAAATAGATCGAATTGGTAAAAGATGAGGTGAGGTTTATGCTTAATGTGGTTGCTTTAGAATATGAGCCTTTATTATTAAGGACTTATGGGTATTTATCTTCAATATAGTTTAATTGACAGGGATCACTATGGGGTGATACAACAATTTAAGTGATTTATTGATTAGCAGGCTTTCAATTGGAGTAGTTTTGGGAAGTTGAATATAATCCAATAGCATAGATTTAGGAAGTAATTATTTTAGGAGACTTTGAACACTATAAATAATTGTAATGAAAGTCGTTGTAAGAGCATATTCAACCGTGTATATTATTTTTTTCTCGTAAATCTATGTCATAATAATTTTGGATTATTATCTTTTTGTTGCAGAGGTTGTTTTATACGTTTGTGTAAAAATATATCTTCTAATAAGAACCAACCAGTATTATGCCTCGACCCTACATAAATTTTACAAGCCTATTTAATATATGGTTGATTAATGAGAAAGATAGAGGAAAAAGAAAATATGTTAATGTGACTGTGTAAAATGGTGGGGATAAAATACACAACAATTTTACACATTGGTGAGTGTATATTAACATACTGCTAGAAATAAAATAAAAAATTTACACATCACACGTGACCGTGTATTTTTTACACACACACACAAAAAAAAAAAAAAAAAAAAAAAAATTCTTCCAACACCTGTCAAACAATCATTTTAGTACAATTTCTTTTTAATCATGCTTCCTAGTTAAACTTAATTCCTTTAGTTTAATTCAGCTCTAATAGCTCAATTCGACTTTCCTTTAGTTAATTATTCTAGTTTGATTCAGTTTCTTTATTAGTTGTTACCTTTCTCTCTTCAATTTCCTTTTACAATAGATTCCTTAAATCTCTTTGTTATTTTAATTCCATTCCCAGCAATCAATTTTAATTTACTATTAAATCATTTCCTTTCCATATTAGTTTCATTCTTTTTTATTTACTCTTGCAATTCTCTTGATTTAAAAGTCTTTTTAATTAAGGCAATTAGAACCATAAAAAAAGTTTTATGTTCTCTTTTTCTACAATCGTCTAGTCCATTATTTCTTCAAAGGAGACTAAGTTCGACCACCCAATTTCAATTTCAAACCAAGCTGTTGGTTCTGGCACGCCCGGCTGAGCATGCCGCTTCAAGGGTCAACAATTCGGCATTCTCCAAAAATAGTGTCAGCATACCCATTTGGCTCTCTGCTAATCCAAACCAGTCATATAAACTTCAACAATCAGTTCGATATCAAATAATGGCGTGGATATGACTCATCTTTATCTTATTTTTGCTAGCTTTTTAGAAGTATGCCTTTTCTTGAGCAAATAGAGAAGAGTTAATCCGGACATAGCATACAAATTAGTCAATTTAATTATCAAACATCAGAATGCAAATTTTAAAAATAATTAAGCAACTGCCTGCTCTAAAAAGCTTACCAGGTTCCTTCTCTATCAAAATCTATACATTTAGTAGTAATGACTAAAATATGTATTTTAGTTTTCTTGGTTTACCAAGGGTTTTGTAATCCAGTCATATTTCTAGGGCTGTAACTTGGACAGGCTAACCCAGCCCAACCCAAACCCAACCTAGAAATTTTGAAATTTGTGCTTTAAATTCACAAATCGAACTCATGTTCGGGTTGGGTTTTGTCAAAACCCAGACATGTTCGAGTTGGGCTTGCGCTCAACCCAAACCCAACCCAAAATAAAATAAAAAATTATTTTTTAATTTTTTTTCTCCTTTCTCCTTTCTCCTTTCTCTCTCCTCTCTCTTCTTCCTCTTTCTCTCTCTGCCGCCGTCCCCTCTGCCGCCGCCGCCGTCCAACTGCCGCCGGTGGTGGCCTAGTTGACAGATCTAGCATCCACAAGAGTTTCAAGTTTCCAATCTGAAACGAGATCAAGCCATAAATTTGATCCACCACCACCGCCACCACCGTTCCTCTGCCTCTGCCGCCACTGTCACTTAATTCCAAAAATTAAAACAAAACCCATAAATACAAGTTAGCAGTCATAAAGAGAGGGGGGGACAAGCTTGAGAGTTGAGAGACAGTGGCTGAAGCTTGTGAACGACGAACCCGAATTGGAATAGCGGGCGATGGAAACTGAAAGATATGCGTTTTGATTTTTTGAACAATCTGAAATGATATGCCGATATGCATTTTGATACAGGTAATAGGTTTTGAACTTTTGATTCTTGCAGACAGATAGATAAAATGAAATATATGGGTTTTGAACTTCTGATTCTTGTAGATTTTGTAGTTTGCAGTTACAGAGGGATCGAGAAAGAGGGTAAGTTCAGAGTCAAGGACAAGAATAGAGATGGAGGCGATTGGGGAGCTGAAATGATTTTCCCTAAAATATTTTGTTTTTTTAGTAATAATATAATCAAATATATATAAATTTCTGGAAAAAAACAAAAAAAAAAAAAAAAAAAAAAAAAAAAAAAAAAACTCAACCGGTCAACCGGCCCGGCCTGCTCGAAAATATTCGGTCTGGATTATGAGCATAACCCATGTTGGGTATAATTCAGCCTGGCCAACCCAACCAGATTTCAGGTTGAGGTTGGGTTGGGAATGGGCTGGGTTGGCCAGCCCAACTTGCAGCCCTTGATATTTCATCTACCTTTTAGAGTTGGTGGTGAGGGTTCGAGTCCCCAAAGAAACAAAGTGGATGTTGGGTTGAGGTTGGGTTGGGACTGGGCTGGGTTAGCCAGCCCAACTTGCAGCCCTTGATATTTCATCTACCTTTTAGAGTTGGTGGTGAGGGTTCGAGTCCCCAAAGAAACAAAGTGGATGTGTGAGTTATGTGTGAGTTTCTTGCCAATAATAATAAATAAATAAAAATTAAAAATTCCTTAATTCAGTATTTATATATACACTGGCTTTAACTTATTAGTGAATGTAACGGTTCAAATGCCCCTATATACTCATTTTGTTATACCATGCTCATTTTGAAAAAAAATAAGGAAGACTTTTAATTAGAAGCTTGCAAATTCATTTACTGCACTCCCATATTCCAATACAAATTACTCAATATTAATTAACCATAAACATTTCTTAGTATAATTATTGAAATAGTATAGCATATCTTCAATCAAATCCAACAGTACAAGCAACCCAACAATCAAAAGCCGAAAACTGTTTTTGGCAGGATGAAAAACATAAAAAGTAACACCTCTAACGGATGATAAAAAAGGGCTTCCAATAACTCTTAGCAGTATTAGTTGTAGCCATCCAGATTTGCCAAGAGGTAGGCCTCAACAGCCTTGAACATTCCCAAGGCCTTCTCTTTGCCACCCTTGATTTGGTCCTCCGTGATCCCAACGTCACCTTTGGTGTGGTATTTGCTGTTGTTCTTGCATAGGGATCCTCCATTAGAGGAAGCTTCGATCTTGATCTTGTAAGATATTTTCTCAAGCACACCCATCAAAGCATCACCTTCGATGATGCTATAACTATAGACAAAGTTCTCTTTGTCAAGCCCATCAACTTGGTGTTTCACGCTCTTGAATTGGGTACCTTCGCCAAAGGAGATGACCTTGACAGTTCCAACTCCACCATCCCCTTGGATGATTTCAACACTCTTAATTGCTTGTGGCAAGATCTTGGGGATGAGGTTGTCGGCATCAAGGACAAAGGCCTTGAACATCTTGGTAGCAGGGATTGAGGAGTTAACCTCCATATCATAACTGATCACACCCATGATGCCTTAGGAGTTTCAATGTGATTAAAGAGGTGGAAGAAGGTGGAGAATGGAAATGATAGATTTGGTTTGTAAGAATGTTTTGGTGAGGGAAATGTAAGGGCTAGAGGTGGTATTTATAGAGTAAGGATGCAGGTTGCGAAGTGTGAAGAGAAACTAAATACACCCCCTCGTTCCAAAATGGTGTCCTTGTCAATTTCCATGTTTTACGTTCGCTTACATATAGAAATATATAACTGATTCTAGAAGTCTTGTTATTAAGTGAGAAAGCCTTGGATGGTCCGAATAGGTAGAAATACGAAACTAACCCTACAAATCTTATTGAGTGAGAAAAGTTGGATGGTATGAATTGGCTGGCATGACTTGTAAATAGAAATTTAAAATTCAACCATCTTTGAATTTTCAACCACAAGTCGGCATCAGAAAACATAACTGTTTTTAGTTTCAATCATTGTCCTCCAAGAGTTCGTATATTTTAAATGTGTCGTTCAATCTATACGATCAAATATCTCAAATTTAATCGCTCGTCCATTGATCTTCTATCTTGATAGCAGAAAATGTCTGTTCTACAAATGAGATATCTTTGTTTTGGAGACATGAATATTGAAAAGGTAATTACAGATTCAAACACCAAAACTAATCAATTACTTAATCCAATGTTTGTTGGTATTCTCTCACACAATACCTTTTTCAGTCAAACTTTACATAATTCATAATAGAATAGTGGGGTATTTTTCAAAATTGATTGTGAGATTTTTAAGATTGTAACAAAAAATATAAGTGCTAATATATAAGTAAAATAAAAAATAAAAAATCAGTGGAGGCCTGAGACACCCAAGACTCATCGTAGATCCGCCCGTGTCTGTAATCAAATGATATCACTGTTGGGATTTATATGCCCTGACATAACAAATTTCTATTTGGATTAAAGTGACATATGTTCCTGACATATATGAAATATTTATGCTTTATACAATTGGTGAATTCAATGTATTATGTTTCGATTCATTATGGAATTGATATCGTCCACTTGATTACAAGAGATATTTATATATATATGTGATGGCGATTAATACATGAATATCAATAGTAATAATAAATTATTCATAGTCGGTAATTATGGATGGACTCATAATTAATTAAGACTTGAACTGGATCCGCGTTAGGTTGAGATATATTATGAAAGCCGTCGTATGCAATTGTTCCCTATCACCGTCATGGCATTTGACTCTTAAGCATGAGAGAAGTATAGACTCTTTTATTAATTAGTAATTACTTTGATTTGTTCGGCGGAATTTTCAGAATCCTTAGACCGGCACTTTGGGTAATTATGTAATTAATAGTTAGAGGGTTATATTTTCAATATTTGCATCATTGCTACTTGTATTTATTTTGTATTGATTATAGTTCAGCACAAAGTAAATTCGAAGGCCTTCGTGTGTTTTTAAACAAAATGATTTATTATATATTTACTTATTAAATTATTATTTTTTGTTAAACAAATATTTTATTGTGATCAAGCTGGAAATAATCAAAAGTACCAAAATAAATATATTAATTAAGTAGTCGGATTGATGATTTTATTTATCCGATAATTAATTATGTATAGAGGGGTCAAAGTGTAACATTGACTTAGAGATTATTTATTATTTAATTGGAATTCAATTAATTTCTTTTAGTGGAGTAGAAATTAATTTATGAATTAATTGAATTTGGTCCATGGACCGGGCCAATTATTAATTCATTGTAGTCAATAAAATAATAAACCCAAAGGATTCTCATTCATAGCCCAACTTAGTATTGGAATCCTATTAGATTTAAGACATGTGAATTAGAGATTGAGAAGGATTTATTATTTCCTTTTCTTTATTTTTATATTGCCTATATATACATGGTCTATGTATATTTTAGGGTGACGTAGGGGTAGAAGGAAAAAGGAATATATTTTCTCTCTCTAGAAAATTAGGGTTAATGTTCTCATCTAATGGAGGCTCCCACAAGCCTAGTTTTTCAAGGTCATTCATGGAGGCTTATGAGTGATTCCTAAAGGTAAAACAATTACTAAGAAGATGGAGATCCAATAAGAAGGCATCTTGCTAAGGGATTTACAATAAGTGAGAACATTCACTTTAGAGGAAAGATTTAAAGGTTTACTCAGACCTTTGATGTAAGTATTCAATCTGTTAATTGAATGATACATCATATTTTATTTTTTGCATAAAACTTGTCTTTATGTGATGAATCAAGATCTGTGAATGAAAATCCCTCGAAAAGTTTTTAAACTAGCACGTTTTCCAACAATGGTATCAGAGCATTGGTTGATTCATTACTAGAGACCTTGTTTTTATCAAAATTCATCATTCATGGATCCAATTTTGATATGCATATATTTATATTTATTGATGTATGTTGATGTATGGTTTAATATGTTGATATATATTGATACATAATAATGTATGTATAATTGTGAATGTATGATGATGTATCATTGGGCCATGGATGAAGCTTATAGGTTATTTGAATGTAATTTTTTCTTTGGATGAATGTAATTAAGGCTTTGATTTAGCCGTTAGAAAATTCAATGATGTAATTTAATTTTTTTTTTCATTGTATATCAAATTGTAAATTTATTTAAAGTCGTGTAATTTTCATCAAAGGATGCTATGAAACTTCAAGAAGGCCCAAAAGGGTTAAATTAGGCTTCAAGAATTTTCTGGAATTTTTTCGAAATTTTTCAGAATTTTTTTGGAATTTTTTGGGCTTAATTTAATTTTCTAGAGATTTTTTTATTAATTTTCTACATTTTTCGGCGATTTTTCGGTGACCGGAGCGTCGCCGGTGCCGAGAAGTAGCGCCGGAGGAAGAGGTGGGATCCGGTGCGGCACGAGATCATGCAACTGGATCCACAGCCGCTGGATCAAGGGCTGCAATCCGGTGTAGCATACATATGATGCACCTGGTCCGTAAAGAGCACGTGCCAGGGTCAACAGCTTGCTGGCGAGTGAGGAGCATCCACCAGGCCAAGCCAAATTCTTCCACGCGCACGTGCAGGCACATAGAAGCGCGTCCATGTGCGTGCCACACGCTGTAGCACCTTCCAGGCACGTGGGGACGTGTGCCACGCGCTGCTGCACCCCCTAAGCATGTGCCAGAGAGTGCTGGGTCCTCCGGGTGCGTTTCAAGTGCCGTTTTGCTTCTCCTAATGCGTATCAACCTCTTGCGGGTGTTTGCAAGCTGATGGAAGCCCTCATGCAGTTATTAGAGCAATTAAATGTGAAAAGCTAAATCCATTGGCCATTTTTATTTGCTTTATCTGTCATTTATTGATGTATGTGATGCATAGAATAATTAATTGCTAATTATTATTGTTCATGCATTTGATCCATGATTTTTATCTAAATGGTTTGATTTATATTAATTAAATTATGAAGATAAATTGATTTTGGTTGCTAATTAATTTGAGAGCATTTATTGGGAAATGAAAAATTATTTTTGTAAATTATTTTAAAATAATGCCTCAAATTAAATATTAGTGAATCATTTAAAATCTAGATATTTTCTAAATTTAATTGGATTAAAATCAAGGTGTTTTGCATGCATTATATCATGGTTATGAATAAATGAAAAATCCTAATTATGAATGATTAAACATTGAGTGGGAGCGGGAATTTTTATACATTACCCCATGGCCTTTGTTATTATACCCATTGTAATTAGATCTTAAAAAATAAGGTCCTACGCATGATTTGAAGAGTCTGAGATTACAAGAATGATTGTCTCATGAAAATAAAAATATTAAATGTTCATTGTAATTAGATCTTTAAAAACAAGGCCCTACGCATGTTTAAAGAGTCTAGATTACATTGACAAGATATTTAATGTTTTATTTTTCATTAGAGCTTTAATAATGTTATACACTCAATCTAAAATTAATAGTGTTAGCTCTCCAACAGAGTGGTCTACACTAGGTGATTTTAGAAAGGATAAACAAAATCGGGAATCATTTCATATGATAGACAAGGCATTGTCTTAAGAGATATGAAAATGATGGAATTTGCCCACCAATAGCAATAATGAACTTCGTTAATCGAATAAGTTATTGGCGTATTGGTTATCTGATTTTTCATGCAGTGGTTAAGGGACCCACATATTATTATTTTAATGGAAGTGCTCACCTAATATCAAATGAATCCCAACAATAGTAATAATGAAATCCTCCATCATGATAAGTTATTGACGTATTGATTGTGTGATTTATTATGCTACGGAGTTGAGGGACCCACAATAATTAAAATGGATTGTTCACCAATAGTAATAATGAAATCTTATTCTATTGAGATTCATTATACTATGTGGTTGACGAACTCATTTTAATTTTAAGTTTGCATGATAATATTAATAATTCACCTTGAAGATTGTATAAATACATTTATATTCAGATTAATTATGTTTAATCCATTTAATCTGCTTACTAACATATTCAATGTACTTGGACCTCATTTATATTGACTGGAAAATGAACTTAGATATTTTACTCACAACATAAGGGTACAAAACATATTTACTACTCCTATACCTAATCCTTTTACTTTAAGATACCAAATTTGACATTAATGCTTTTAATAAATGAAATAAGGCAAATGATATGACTTGGTGCAATATTCTAGAGTTTATCTCGATTACGCTCCAAAGCTTACATTTACATTATTTTATTTTCTTCAAGTACCATGTTAAATGTCAATAAAATGTTTTGGTGAGATTTGTGATACCCCTCGGATCTGAGACACGGGTTGATCAGGCCCAGGCCCAAACCCGAGGGAAATATCAAACAACTAATACGTAATGAACATAGATGACAAAATGAATTTAAGAAATAAAGTTTAAGCTGAAAGAAACTAAAATAAAATCCGCAAATAATGAAGATTAAATAATCCAACTCCCAAACCTCCAACAGTACAACTCGGGAATCCATCTCTAGTGGACCCCTAATAATAATCCAA